AATATTTTGTCCCGAGCACGCGCGCCCTTGCCAGAATCTAGAAATTTGCCCTGCCGTGCCCGTCCCCTGTTCGTACGCAGAGCGAGGTCGACAGCAGACTAGCCGAACCCAGCGCCGGTCCTGAGTTTTTCGAGGCCATGGTCGAGAACTAATATGGAGGCCCATAGTCTAATTTCAAAAAATTATTTATATAGATTTTTTATAGATATATATAGTCTCACAAATACACATCAATTTAGATAATATTCAAAGCACCAAAAAAGCTTATATATAATCTCTCAAAGTTAATAAAATGGACATATGTAATAATATATTACTTACTTGGCACTTGACACTATCTAAAGCAATTTCTTCTTACATTTCGAGATGCAAAATCATTGATTGTACTATTGATATCGATCTCATCCAACAACTTCTTCTCGATGCATAAAGTCGCCAAGCCATTTAGCCTTTCTTGAGACATTGTTGACCTCAAATAGTTCTTCAATAATTTTAACTTTGAAAAGCTTCTTTCAGCTGATGCGACCGTCACAGGAACAGTAAATAAGATCCGATAAGCAATGGAAATATTTGGATAACAATCCAACTCTCTGACATGCTTGAAAATCTCCATAGCAGACAATGTACCTTCTGGCAATGTGAATTTCAAAATCTTCAATTCAGAAATAAGATCATGTACCTCAACATCGGATGATCCATCAACTGAATTTTTTTTTGGCAAATTTAGTGCAACACTCTTCAAGTTCAGTATCATCTAATGACTTTAGGGCAGTTGAGCTCATTAAGAAACCAAATATATCTTTAAACTCCATGAGTTTATCAAATCTATGATTTAAAGAAGATCTTGCCATATCAACCACAACATTAAAATATTCGACTTCAAAAGCCTTCTCAGCGTCTAGAATTTCTTCTTGGCAATCACTTTCGTCAAATTGTTTCTTCCTCGTACCACAACGTTTTACTGGAAATGATGCCTTTACACCCATGTCAGATGCAATGCCTTTGGCGATAATCAGACTAGAAGAAAACCCTTCATTTCTGTATGTGTCAAAGTATTGCTTCATACCCTATATTTGCTGCAATGTAGAGTCAATGCACATGTCTGGCGACTGCAACTTCTTGCTCACTTTATTCACGGCAAATAAAATATCATTCCAGATAACCATACCAAGTATAAACTCAAATTTTCCAATGGCCTCAAATAAAGTTTTTGCATCACTTTTATCTTTAGCATCAGTCTCAGGATCATGACGTAACTCAGATAAAGCTGCTCTTATCTCAGTAGCTTGATATGTTATTGCTGAAACACTTTTGATTCGACTCTCCCAGCGAGTATTGGACAATGATTTCACAGTTAAACTGGGAACATGTTTCAGCAAAGCATTCCACCTTTTTGTAGAACTGGCAAAAAGCACATATATGCGTTGAACAATACCAAAAAATGACTCAGCTTTACCACATGTTTTGGTTGCCATATCACTTAGAGTAAGATTGAGACTATGACAAGCACATGGCATATACAATGCTCTTGGATTGACATCAGTTAACCTTTTCTGTACTCCTTGGTGTTTTTCTTTCATGTTTGAACCATTGTCATAGCCTTGACCTCTTATATCATCAATATTAAGTCCGAAGGAGTTAATAGCATCAACCATTACATTAAAAAGCCCCAAACCAGATGTATCATCCACCTTCAAGAACCCCAAAAAATATTCCTCAACTTTTATTTGGGCATCAGACAAATTAACACATCGAACTAACAAAGTCATTTGTTCTTGATGACTCACATCAGGGGTGCAATCAAGAATAATGGAAAAATACTTGGCCTCTTTAACAACCTTTATGATAGAGCTTGTGATATCAACAATGACCAAGAGAGAAATCAACTCATTCTGAATTTTATGACTAAGATAATGATAATGAATTTCTTTGTTCGAATAAATGCGAGGTGATCTTGCATTACAAAATCAAATTCGCTATCATCTCGTGAGCTAGCTAAGAAATTGCCATTACTTGGATTGTAAAGTTGCTCATTGCTTCCTCTAAAAAGCTAAGCTGCGTTTGCCAAGAAATTTCACAATTGCAACTATCCTTATTAAAACTTGCCTCAAACGTTCTTTCTCCTTTGTGATTTGTTGCTTTGCAATTCTTTGTCAATTGTTTCCTTTTCCATGATCTAGCTCTCATTTCATTCCAACTGCTCATATTCCTAATATGCTCAGACTATTTTCATGCTCTCTAAGCTTCGACTAATGTGCCTCCAATTACTATAGCCATCATTTGCTAAGCCACTGTTCGTACTACTAGACTTGAAGATCTTACAATGAAACAAAATGCTTTGTCAACATTCTTTGAATAAACTAACCATTTTCTATCATGTAACTCTCCGTTGCTTAGTTTTCTAAAATAATGGCCACATGAAAATGTCTTGACTCAAAGATCATGAGGGAATTCAATGTTCTCTTCTCTTATAGGCCCTTCTCAACTAATATGTCTCGTGCCTTATTATCAAGTTTATCCCAATTGCTTGGATCATATATATCCAAAGTGTAAACCGCTGCTCATCAATACTAGTAGATTGTTCTTGCGCACCCAATGCGAGAACACGGTGTTCTCGTGGTCACTTACATTGTTATCACCGCCACCGATGTCAACATTTTCTTCATCATTCTCATTAGTTGCTACATCCACGGCAACTATCGCCAACTCATCGAGATTCGTCGAAGCAACCCGTACTAGTCTTGAAAAATTTATCAAGAGATCCTCTCGGTGATTACATCAATCTTTGCAAAGATTTCTTTTCCGTTTCCTTTTGGAAGCACCCGATTCAAACTTTCTCGATGACATTATATCCAAATCCTAAAATTAAATAAACGATAGACCATTATAGTTTACAATTATAAGGGTATGTAGGCTACAATAAATAAATTAATTATCAATATGTTACTGTCAAACCGAGCGGTGCTTACCTATGGATGTGATCCTCTCTGTCCTGTGCAGTGGTTTGATACTTTGATCCAGTTAATCCGTGATGATTGATGAACTGAAGCGGCTGCAAATGGATCAGGGATCATGGATGAGGATGATGGGAATTGGGATCGAAATTGAACGAGCAACATCTGCATCTGCTCGATCACAGATGAGGACGATTACCTCCGTGACCGCCGCGGTCGAGTCGTTTCATGAGGTGAATGGAAACTGAAGCGTCGAAGGGCCTCTTCCTTGACTTTTGCTTGCTTCTATATTTAGCCAACAGTCCAATAGGCAACACGCAGCAATCAAAAGTCCATGTATATATGTATTATAGATAAAATCGTATATATATATATACTAGTACCTACTATATGGGGAGAGGCCCACCAAAATTAGAGGCCAGGGTCGGCCGCACACCCTGCCCACCCCTAGGGCCGGCCTTGGCCGAACCGCCGGAGACGCGTGTCGTTCGGCGGCCCTGACCGAGGAGTGCAGCATGGAGCCTGTTCGTTTGGTCGTAAATGATTGTGAATTATAAATCAGAATAATATTTTTCTATAACACTAAATCAACCACCAGTAATAATAACTGGACGAACAGGCTGATGGTTTCATGCGCCACGGCACCGCGTACTCTGCGTGGCAGACCGCAGACGAGCTGAGCCTGAGCCCAGCCCGTACCGGGGAACAGCCGGACAGGGACGCAGCGACAAGCGTAGCTTCCGTTGGAGTTTGGCCCGGCATTTTTCTTTTTCTTTCTATGCAGGCTGCGGCAGTTGCACGCATCGCGCCAACGGCTATTGGATATTGGCCTGCTGCTGCTGGGACCTCGGAACGTTCTCTGTTGCGCAGGCCTGCATCGGGTACTTTTTAACTTTTTTCCATTGACATTTTGGTGCCATTGGATAATTTCTAGACGTTGGAGCCTTCACATGGAGTGACAGCCTGAGGCCCTGACTGACACTCGCTGTCACTGCTCGAGCAGTCAACCTGCTTGTTTATGACCTTTTTATACTAGTACAGTAACAAGCTCTGACATTTTGTTTCCTGGAGAGGTACTGGTATTTCTTAAGTTTTCACGTTTACCAGACCGTGACTGGCAAAATGGCAAATGAAATGACAGTAGGGTACCATGATGAGTCATGAGTCTAACGGCGGATGGCAAAGGTCAAATCCCCTGATCCGATCGATGGAGCGGAGTTAAACCGCCGACGCTGCTGTACTGACTGAACCATGATTGCTCTAGGATACGACCCAGAGTGGCAGCGACCCATCACTTCGAGTGTTTCTTCACTTCCGGTGGAAGTGAGCGAGTAACACCAACACCAACTTAGCACTGAGAATTTAAAGATGGATAGGGACGGATTAGAAGAGTACAACCCTTTTTCTCTCCACCCATCACGGCCTAGGCCTTCCTTGCGTGCCTCAGCAATCAGCACTGCTTCACATCACACCTCCAGCGTGCCGGGCAGCGGAGGAGCGGGCGGAGAGCGGAGACCCTCACACGGTCACGCCTCACCTCACGCCGATCCGGCCGTTTCATTATTCCCACGCCGTAACCCAGTAACCGTTGCCCGCCGCTGCTGCTGCCGGTGCCGCCCGCCCGTTCCATTCCATCTCGGCTTCTCTCGCTGGAAAGTAAAACCAAGGCCAACGGTCACTCTTCCCAATCGACCAGCCAAACTTTTTTAAGTCCCCCCCCCTCCTCCCGAGACCGAAACGCCAAGAGGAGCCCGGACAAGCCACGCCACTCCACTCCCCCAGCTCGAAACGCACATCGCGCGCAAGCCCACACACACAGCACAGGCCCCCTCGCCTCGTCGCACGCGCGACCCCGGGCCGGCCGAGGAACGGAGCAGCGCGCCGCTGCACCGCACTGCAGCAGCAGGTGACAGGTGAGCGCAGCACGGTGCACGACGACGCCACCGGCGCGCGCGCACGTACGTACGGGCACGTGGTGGTACTTGATACCTGCTCCGCGACAACTTGGAGCTCGATAGAGCAGGCACCAGGCAGGCGCGTCGTGGGATGGGGAGCGCGGGTGAGGAGGACAGGGAGGCTCGGAGCGAGGCGGCGTTCACGGACTCCGCCTCCGCCGACGGGAGCAGCTCCAGCTCCGACGCCGCGTCCACCGACGAGTGGCCACCCGCGGCGGCCAGGAAGCCGGGCGGCTGCGCCTCCGACACCGACGTGGCCAGGCAGCAACACAAGCACAAGCGCAGAGCACCATCAGGTGACCACCGCCTCATATACTTTTACTCGCAGCATCCTGGATTCTCGGTGGTGAAATTCTCTAATGTGTGCGCGCCTTGTGTTTCGACAACAAAACTGACAGAGACGGAGATGATGAAGGAGCGGTTCGCGAAGCTGCTGCTCGGCGAGGACATGTCCGGGAGCGGCAAGGGCGTCTGCACGGCGCTCGCCATCTCCAACGCAATCACCAACCTCTGCGGTCAGAACTCGCCGCCGTGACCACCTCCAACGCCATTGCTGGGAGTGGGGTTTAGTAAATAAATTCATTCATTCCCAAATAACGCAAAGCGTGTCGCGTTCGCAGCCACCATCTTCGGGCAGCTCTGGAGGCTGGAGCCGCTCCCGCCGGAGAAGAAGGCCATGTGGCGGCGGGAGATGGACTGGCTGCTCTGCGTCAGCGACCACATCGTCGAGCTGGTCCCCACGTGGCAGTCATTCCCCGACGGAACCAGGCTTGAGGTGCGCCTAGCAAACACGCCATGTCTCCACCCTCTTCATCCACCATTTCATTCATCCCATAACATTCCGGCCGTAGCACCGAGGGCTGAAATATCCAGCGGGTATCACGCGTTTTTCTCTTGGTTTCCATCTAATCGTACGAACCCGATACGGGATGTGCAAGTTCAATTTATGCGTTGGAAATTGAAATGGCGTTCAAATTTCTTGCTCGTACGGTTTCGGCGGGTATTAAAGCTACCTGATAAGTCGGCTGACGCTGTTATGTTATGAGAGAAAAATACCGTATAGCTGATAAGCCGGCTGAGTTCAAGCGAACAGGAATGTCGTGGTTGTTCAATAGCAAGTACAACAGCTGGGTTTCGAAAGAAGTGTTAAGTGTACCAGAACAGTTTATAATGGGCCTCTAGATGCATATGGACTACTGGAAAATGATATATTAAACGTGCGCTTAGCTACCCTGGATTTGGTACAAGTAACTTGATTTTGCTCTAATGGAGAAAAGAAAAATGGTGCGAGAAAGGATTAGCTGAAAATTATACTAGTCATAGAAAATGCTGCAATAGTAAAATAAGATATGTTCATCAGTGAAATGGCAAAAGGCTATACCTAAATTTGTGAACATACACAAGCAATTTCTCTAATTTTGTAAAGAGAACAAGGAAATTAAACAGAAGTCAGCAATAATGATTATCTGTTTCTGCAGTGAGTAAATTCCAACTGAAAGCTATCAATGAGTGTCACTAAGGGGTAGTAATGTCTGTACTCATTAGACACCGAACATATAAATCATGAGATTTATATGTACGTACGATGCATTAGACACCTAACATATATTAAATGTTTGTACGTATGATGCATCATATAAATCATGAGATTGCATACATTTCAGATCATAAAAAGTGGACCACTTTCGATTTGTACTTACTGTTTAAGGATTACTATGCATTACACACTGAAATTGATGCATGTCATTGCCACTCAATAACTAATTGCACAAATGTCTTGATGTCGTATTTCAGATCATGACAACTAGACCACGGTCTGATCTGTACATTAATCTTCCAGCGCTCCGGAAGCTGGATCATATGCTCCTTGTGAGTTTTTCTGAACTGTGGATTCATTGCAGTTGATCGAAAAATTCAGTTCTCTCATAGCACCATATTCTGACAGGAAATCCTGGAAAGCTTCAGAGACCCAGAGTTCTGGTATGTTGAGCAAGGTATTGCTGCACCAGATTGCGACGGCTCTGCATCCTTTAGGACGGCTTTTCACCGCCGTGATGAGAAATGGTGGCTCCCAGTGCCTCGTGTGCCTCCCGGTGGCCTTCACAATAAAACAAGGAAGCAGTTCCAGCACAAACGTGATTGTGCAAACCAAATCCTGAAGGCTGCCATGGCCATCAACAGCAATGCCTTAGCAGAGATGGAGGTCCCTGAATCTTATCTTGACTCCCTACCAAAGGTATACAATGCCTTCTTCCAATCTTCCGTAATCAAAATTCATGAATGTGCAATGTCCACAGCATTTCTTATTGTCAGCTCTGAACATGTTGCACTAAACTTGATTTCAGAATGGAAGGGCAACCTTAGGTGATATCATATACCGCTACATAACGTCTGATCAGTTCTCCCCTGAGTGCCTTCTTGATTGCCTGGACCTATCCACGGAGTACCAGGCCCTGGAAATCGCAAACCGTGTCGAGGCGTCAGTGTATGTGTGGCGCCGGAGGGTTGCTGCCAAACCAGTAAATGGCTTGGGCCGAAGCAGCAGTGCTAGATCATCGTGGGGCATGGTAAAGGACATGATGGTAGACTCGGAGAAGAGAGAGCTGCTAGCTGAACGAGCAGAGGGCCTGCTAATATGCTTGAAGCAAAGGTTTCCTGGGTTGACACAGACAAACCTGGACATGAGCAAAATTCAGTACAACAAGGTTTCTATCTCTATCTGTTTCTCCTAATATTCTAGCTATTACCAAATTACAGGTCAATAGCTGATGCCACTCTTGCTGGTGAGCAATTTTCAGGATGTGGGTAAATCAATCCTGGAGAGCTATTCGAGGGTGTTAGAAAGTTTGGCTTCAAACATCGTCACCCGCATCGACGATCTGCTGAACATCGATGAGCTGAACAGACACGCTGAACATTTCACAGCAACAGGTGATGCAGACTGCAAGATTGCTTGCAGCCAGACTGCTGTTCCATCCTTCCCAGTACCAGCCTCTGGCACACCATTCATGACGGCATATGCCACACCTAGCTTCTCGCCGGCACAATTGGCAAGCCCATCAAAGAAAGAGAGGACGTCGCTGACTCCAGGCAGACGGTCTCAGCATAGTAGGGGTGCTGGCACAAAGAAAGGCTTGATGGATCATGTCGGTACAGAAATCAAGGGGATGATAATCAGCAGCGGTATGATGATCGATGTCTCTACTACTACAGAGCTGTAATTGTAAGCTGATAGCTCATCAGATTGCCAAGATGACTAGTCTTTGTGTATATGTGTCTGTGTCTCTCTGTCTGTCTCTGTGTGAGCGTCCAAATTTTTACTGGCATGTTGCATTTCTGATTTGTGTGCCTACGATTTTACTGGCGTACTGCACTGTTGTTTGCTGACAGCCTGATGCCCTGATCTACAGTACTATTAGCATAGACGGGTGTTGTTAGTTGTTACATACTCTGTATGAGGAGTTTCAGTCTGATTTGAATTTGTTGAAATTCTACGGTTGAAATTAACAAAGACTGGGGACATTTGATATGAAAGCCAACTCTTTGTCCAGTTCGCAGAATTAGTACCTTACAATGGTCTTTGGTCAGAAACATAGCCAGTTTTTATTGCAATCCCTTTGATGAACGCCCATCTAACATCCCAAACTGATGGTTGGGCTATGTTCCAAGCAATTTAGAGCCTGGGAGTCAAATTTCATTGGCTTCAAGAGAAAAGGGTCTGATCTCAGTGGTGAAACCCCAGCAAAAATTGTTGCTGCTACAAGTTCTTAGAGCTCCGTAGTTTCAGGTTTGTGAGAACCCTGCAGAAGACCGTGTGACTAGGTTCTCGCGTTTTCAAGAACTCTGGCCTGCTCTCCAATCCTAAAATCAGCCCGCCCCGCCGACATGCTCGTGATGATTGTGAACCGACAAAGTAGTCGAATCTTCGATCACAGGCCATTTACGTGGCAGCTGTTCAGAGACTACAAAGAAAGGTGTATGGTCGTTAAGCCCTTCCTTCACCATAGTGGAGCGCAGTAGGTAATGCTACTTAAACGGAGAGCTCCGCGCATGCAGCACAAAGCCGACGCTAGTGCAGCGTCCACTTCGGCCGTTTCACACCATGAGCCGCGGAAAACCTCAAGCAAACCATGATGGCTTCCGTTCACGCTCGAGGCCCCGGGACTGTATATATAGCCACCTCCGTGACGCCGAGGAGACCATCACTTCATCAGAGACTTCAGAGTTCAGTGTAGTGCAGTGAAGGCAGCAGCAGAGCGTGAGGTGCAGTGCACTACCAGTCATCAAGAAATGGAGCTCCAGGCAAGGTGCCTCTGCGTCGTGGCGATGCTCCTGGTGGCCGGCCTCGCGGGGCTGGATACGGCGCACGGTGCGGGGGAGTGCGGCCGCGTCCCAGTGGACCAGGTGGCGCTCAAGCTTGCGCCGTGCGCGGCGGCCACGCAGAACCCGCGCGCCGCGGTGCCGCCGAGCTGCTGCGCGCAGGTGCGCTCCATCGGGCGGAGCCCCAAGTGCCTGTGCGCCGTCATGCTGTCCGACACCGCGCGGAAGGCCGGCGTCAAGCCTGCCGTGGCCATGACCATCCCCAAGCGCTGCGCCATCGCCAACCGCCCCGTCGGCTACAAATGCGGCCGTAAGCGCCCCCTGCGATCCCCATCGTTTTTGTTGAAATTACATTGGCGTCAACATCATTTGCTTTCTTCTGCCTCTCTCACTGTCTGTTTTTTCTCACTCTGCAGCATATACCCTGCCATGAAGTGATCATGACGAGCAAAGTGATGGCTGGCAGAGTGACAGACTGACAGTGGCACCTGAAGGACTCCAAACTCTGACTGCCAATATGCCGTGACCTCTGTCATATCTTACTTTTCACAGATCCCCAGAATAATGTTGCTGTAATAATGCCTGAACTTTGGAATAAAAGTATTTCTTTTTCCTGAAGTCGATAATACTGTAAAATGTAATTGACAAGAACACTTTCCAAACTTCTGTCAAATTCAAGCTGGTAAAGGTGTACAATGTGAAGTCATCGCCGCTTCTCCAGCACATTATTTTGCTTTGGAGCGACGATCCAATTGTACAGACATTTGACTCTAAGGAGTCAGACACCAAACCGCTCATAGTACCGGCGGAATGGACAGGGACCCTTTTATGCAATCTAATTCATACTGTGCTACAGCTTCATTATATTGCACATCTAAAGCAGAGACTATGAAAGACACACACTACATCTGCCCAGGTGAGGTGATGCTTCTAAATACTGGCACCACCATTGGACGAAAGCGGGTCCACTATGACGCAGATAATACTACTAGCAGCAGTCAAGGAAATCGAGCTTCACTGCCTCCCCTTTCTGTTCCTGCCATACAGAACCAAATAGAATTGTGAGGAAAACTGACAAAACTAATAACATGATATAAATAAATATCATTCATCAAAGGCTGCATAACAACAGGCGCAGCATCAGTTACATAACTTGCATATAAAATTGCTTGGCTCCTATCTCCATTTTCATTTTCATAAAAAATACAGATCTTTGTCATTGATTTTCTATGTGTTAACAAAGCAAACATTTCTATGCTTTACAGAACTGTTAATACATTGATTTTCATGATCTGGACCTTGTCAGAACAGCAGAAGTTTGCCACATACTCGTTCCCTAAACAAACTTCTAGTTCTTATAGATATAATATATAATCTAAAGAACAAAACGATGGCATGGAAGATGGAACAGCAGCCAAGTAATGTAGTAGATCAATAGAGATTAAAATTAAATTCTGCTTAGCTTCTTGACATGGAACTAAGTTGTGGAGATATCTAATTTAAACTATTATCTAAGGTCCCCCTTACGCTCCAATATAATGAAACATCACATCAGGGCGCTCAATAGTCAGGCGTGCTCTTCCTTGATTGGCTTCTCACGCTAGGTGGGTTTAGGTGACAACAGTGTTAGCCCATGTAACCATACTGAAAACGATGTAACTAATTATCAGCCAAATCAATACTGAAACAGCAGTAATTAATTATTTGCCTACACCATATGAAAATGACGTAAAGGTAGCTGTTAATCAAAGTTTTCACTCCAAGACAGTTAATCCCACCCCACCCACTGGCCTTTCTCCACAGGCACATCGTTGTATATCAATCTGGTTGCTAGTTTTCTGCAGAAAAAATAATTGTCTACCAAAAAATGATGACAGCTCGAGACACACAAACAATGAAACAAATAAATAAGCTTCCTTTTTATAGGTTAATACCGCAAACACGGAAGGGAGAGATGGAGTATAGACTAAGCGTTGAACTATGCACTAACAGGATTTCATCATAGGAGTGGAATTGGTTGGGCATCCTCTTTAGGAAAAAGTTGTTTGGACACTTTATCACTTGAGATATCAATATAAACTCGGTTTCCTCACAGAGAATACCTTTGAGAAATTCACGTCATGCTAGAACTATATATTCTGACTTTTGGAAAAGGAGAGAACATATGCTCCCTTCTATATGAAGAACTAAGATTACATGTGACGTATCATAGGCCAAGTGAGCCAACATCGGTATCTACAAACTATCAGCTGCGAGTATTAATATGGAATTTGAAAGGATTCTCTGGTACAAAAATGTGAGATGGATAGCATACGCATTGGCAGAGTATAGCAACAAACTTAGTAGCTTTAACAGTAATAAGATCCTCCTGTTTACCTTGTTCTCCAAGGAGAGGCCACCAGGTTCTCTTAGTAATAAAATGAGCCTGTGAGCCCCACAAAATAAAAGAAAACAGAGTTAACGATCAGAAGCTTGAACAGATAGTTATGATATCTGTTTCAATATTAAAATAATGATATACCTTGCCACCAGTCGCCATGAGAATCTGCGGCTGGATCTTTCTTGTCCCCTTTGTACTGAAAACACACACGTTAAATTCAAAGCCTTGCCGGAGTGCAGAGTAATTCATGATGATCTAAAAAACTGTGAACTACAAATCACAGGAAAGAGTTCTATTTCTAGGTTCAGTAATTCTTACATCAGTTGAGGATTCTGTTGCTTTCTTGGTTGTAGAGCTGCCGTAGAAATATTCTCGACCACCATAATGCACAGATGATCCAAAACATGACGTATCAACTGAATCATAAGGCGGTGAATGTTTACCATCCTTTGCGTACGCGGTACGACTTTTGGAAGGAGACGGTTTACCATCTGGATATCAAATCAATCTTTGTTCAGTCGAGATCAAAATATCAAACTAATCATTGTTCAGTTAATTTTCAGCTGTGTCATACCCTCAATGCTTCCCAACTATAACCAAGTAAAATGATCAACCCAGATAATATAAACAGTCCAAAGTCATGGAGACAAGAGTTGGAGGCTAAAAGTATTTATGAGTCGACAAAACAATACACAATGACACACTGTATCTATCATGTAAGCAAATGGTAACTATAGCCTACATGATTCCCAAGATTCATCTGGGAATGTAATTTAAAAAAAAATCTCTGGGAATGTAATTATTTTCGTGATACAAAGGCTCTTCGGTTTTATTAGCACAACAGTTCCCTCCTAATAGCATATAGGATAACAGAAATAAGACGAAACCGGGTAATTCCACAACTACCTGTCACGCCAGCTTGTGCGCTCCCGCTCTGTCCTTTGTAAAGAATGCTGTACAAGTCCTGATCTTTCCCATTTGCCTTGAAAACGAAAGGGAAAAAGACGAAGAAATAATTTTACTAATATATACCAACAGCAAAGAAATGTTTTGAAAAATATATACATAAACCTTTTTTTAGGGAAATTAAGTATTCATATCACCATCACTCTTAAATAATCCTCTAAAATTGTGTTTAGAAAACGATAATCTACGATAATAGCACACCTTATGAAAAGGGGCGTATCCCACATTCGAAACACGCCAAACTTAACAAACTGGAAAAGGGAAAACTATGGTATATAACTAGGAACGCGCCTGTACGCGAAGAAACCCATCTGCATCATCGTAAATAATAAAGTTAAAGAAAAAAAAAATTCCACGTCGAGCTCGAACCTGACAACGAGGCATAGCATCGAACAGGAGAGGGGTGCCAAGAAACGTACCGCGGGCGCCGGGGGGTAGAACAAGCTGCTCAACGGGGACTCGGCTTCGGTGGCGGCGGCGGCGGCGGCCCCGGCGCCGCGGGGAGAGGACTTCTTGGGCTCCATGGCGTGGGGCTGGTGCTGAGGAGAGGACTTCTTCGGCTCCATTTGGGGTCGGAAAGGGGACCTGCGAGGGATTAGGGCACGTGAAGCGGTTGCAGGCGGCGGCGGAGAGACGGGGACTCTAGGGAACACTCGGCTGCTCGCCTCGTGGCGGTCTGTGCTCCGGCCTCCATGCGTGACCCCGCATTTAAAGGCCCGGGCCAGGGACTTCGGTATGTGGTTTCGTTGATCTAGGAGGACCTGTATGGAAAAAGGTGGATATGCCCATTACTGTGTGCCCATAGGAAAATCTTTTTATTTATTACAGGCAGCCAGGCATCCATGTCTCTTGCATGTACGAAGGTATCCTATCTTCCAACAAATAATGGGGTAGTTGGGGCAGTAAACCTAGTGATGCCCTCAAGTTTCATAGTATGTGCCCGGAAAACAACAATTTATTTTGAAGTGTGTTTGAATATAGAGCAGGATGGGCGGTAAAAAGCCTAAAGAAATAAATGCAAAATTAACTTTAGGGGCAATGATATGGTGGCAATCAATTGATGCATGCATATGTATAAAGTATTTCCCCAACATTATATCTTGTTCTTAAATAAGTAAGAATAGTGTGTGATGCAAGGTGGTGTAAAGGCAGGGGATAGAAAGAGGCGGTGGCATGAAGATATGGCAACAATCAAGATATGCATGTAATAAATATTTTCTAACATTATATCTTGTTGGTAAGTTAAACTAGTGTGTGGTACAAGGCGATGTATAGGCACAAGGGTCGAAAGGGGCGGTTACACTTCAGCGGCGAGCAGAGACAACAGGCACGAACAAAAGGTTAGACGTGGGGGGTGGCATATCGATTAGACGGTGGCCTAGCAATAGAAGCAAACTAGGGAGATAATGCGGTGGCATGTCAACCAAGCATAGAAACAAAAATGGTTGGTCGGTCGAAGATATGGACATGACAAGGGAGAAGGGCAGTGCCACGACAATTACTTGGTGGCAAAGGCGAGCAAAGGAAAATAAGCAATTTAATGTGTTACGTCAACCGCGAGCAAAGAGATTAGATCAATTAAAGGTTGATGTAAAGGAAAATGACACCATGGAAACTTGTCGTATCTACAATGGTTCGATGGCGGGGTGGCAAGGTATCATGTTCGGATGCAAGATATTGATGTGTTGTGGACTGGTGGGATGTTGGTGTTATCGAAGCACACATCCATTGGACAATAATGTCAAGATTCACAATACAACGATGGGCATAAAAATGGACACAAAGAGAGAAATAGTAGTGGCTTGTACTGTCAAGGAACAACATCCTTATGAGCATTGTAAGTTGAAGTGGGCAAAGGGGGAAACATTCTGCCAATGAATTGAGACAATAGAGTCAAACACATGTTAAAAAGCAACGACACATCCTAAGGTCGAAGAGACTAGAGGCATAAGCGAACAAAGAAAGGAAGAAGTGACACATCAACCATGAGTAAAAAGAGGATCATTGATAGTAGTTGTTGATTTGTATGCAAGGTAGCAGCCACCGCCTGGTAAGCATAGGTGGCAGGAGAAAGAGACAATTTGATATTGATAACAAGGACATAGCGGCGAGGGTCAAGCGGTGGGATGACCAGGTGTTATGTGGGGACGGTGAGTCGTCGGTGATGGGTTAAGCGGTCGATTTCTTGCTAGATACATGTAGAAATAGTAGGTCAGACAATAAAGACATGGGGGATGATGCAAAAGAGAGGACATAGAAATAGTCGGTCAGACAATAAAGACATGGACGATGATGCAAAAGAGAGGTTCAACTGTAGCAATATTTGTATATCTATAAGTGCGCATAGCATGGTAAGATATGATCTTATGGCTTCCAGCTAGATTAACAATTTTGTTATAATTTAAAACAACAAGGACCTGATACAATTACGTCTTATCATAGTAAAAGTAAAGAGAAAAAATTAGCATTGGTGGCCACTTTTTTCTTGACAAAAGAAGCTAGCCACTTTAATTGACACTTAGTTTCCATTACCAATCTTATAAAAATGGAACTTTTTGCTACAGACAATCATTAAGGGGTGTTTGGCCCCTGTGCCCTCCTCCTCTGCCTCTAGTTGACGCTCATGAAAACAGAGGCATCTGCCATGTGCATTTAGTGTTGTACTTAGGAACTCCTGGAAAAACTTTCATTAGCTATAATTTTAAATAAACACACTTGTGGACAATAGTCACGCGACAATTTGCATGACTCCTAGTGACAACCCAACCAGTACAAGGGTGCTTGCAAATTTGAAAGGGGCACCTCAAGTATTAACTTGACAATGTCAATTCTTGAATTTTATTGATTTCCAAACACAAGTTAGTAATCCTAGCACATCAACTATGCTCTAATATGTAGTTTTAGTTGTAAGGATCATGCGCCCATGTGCATGATCATATGTACTTTTGGTGATTTTGATGATGACACAATCACTAGGACTAACATGTGAGTTAAATTTGTTTCATAGGTTTTTAAGATTATAGGGGAAAAAGAAATAAAAAAATAAAGGAAGACTTGAAGCTTGGCAAACAAAAGTGTTGAATTGCACTTTTTTCATGATTTTATAGTTGTTAAAATTGGTTTAATATCATGTTCAAGCCATAGATATTTTCATAAGTTTTGTAATAAGTCCAAGGTCATCATCGGAGTTTAGAGCAAAAAGAAACGACTAAAATACCGAAGCATCAACACGTGCACAACTTACTGATGTTCACCAGATGATTCACTTGGTTTCTAAACTTATTCAATGCATTATTTTTGCATAGCATTATAGAAAATTACAAAATGGACTTCAGAGCTAGGAGATATGGCCAAATTACCAAGAAGTTAGTGGGCTGAATATAGGATGATCCCATGGAGAATCATCTAAAAGTGGAATTTGGAGCTAAGAGATATGACCAATTATCAAGAAGACAACATGTTAAAATACTACCATCGCATGATCTAGTGCTCACTAATTTTAGACTGATGGATCATCCAACGATGACTAGTAAAGATGCACATAATTCACAAAGTACTATCATATGATCCGATTCTCCTATTCCGTGCTACGACAGATCATTCAGTGATGCACATAAAAGTTGATTCTTATTTCTAATAGCTAGTTGGGGTGTATGTGCTATATATAGGCTCCCAATCACTTGTCTGGTGTTTTTGGAGTGCTCTAAAGCTACTAGAAGCTATAGCAATTGATCATACACTTCATGCACATGACCACATATCATGTGCATATTGATCACATCCTCCAAAGCATAGGATAGATTCCATTGTTTATCTTTGTGAGGGTTAGACCTTAGAGCTTGAGTGTTGGGTTATTGTGCCCTTGTAATCTTGGTGAGTAGATCACTTGAGATCTTATTGGCCTTCTGGTGGACGTCGGTCCTCCAAGATTTGTGTCGATATACGATATGTGTCTTGGTGTGTGGGAGACAAGGAGACTGCTTCTCTTGGTGGAGAAGCTCCGTTGTGGATGATGCCTTGGTGATCGAGATAGTCCGACGACAAGTGGTGAGCCTTAGTGTCTTAGGACACTTCTCTTGTTTGGCAATGGCCTTTCTAGCTTGCACAACATCATGATCTGGCTAAGGCTTGGTGATCACAAGCATATCCTTTGTGGGGCTCTAACATGGACTATCATTTGCGTTTTGGCAATTGATGTGACAAAATAAATTTTCACCTCTGGGAATTTACCATCTGTTGACTTGGTATTTGCCATATGTATTTATGTTTTACGTTGTGCTTGACTTGTGTGGCCTTCGGTTTTTTCATATTAGCATGGGCTAATTGGTAGAATTGGCTCTAGGTTGCACAACTCTGTGGGTTGGGTAAGGTATAGCATATTATATTAGAAAAACCTAATATGCATATCTTACTAGTTAGTTTATGGTTTTTTTCTAGTGTAGATCAAGAATTTCCCTAGGAGTAAGTTTTTATAGACCCAATTCATCCCCTCTTGGGGTTTAGGACTTACATGCTCCTTACATTAGGATGTACAATTAATCAAATTTGATTATCTTTATTCCTCCTCACTATTTATTTTCTAACACAATAGACAATTAGATAGTCTATAATCTCTATCCGGCTATGATAAATTTACCAATATAGTTTTCTAGTATGTATTAGGTTGAAACATAAGTTTAAGTTATATCAGCTCTTGTTTCATGACATCATGAATCTATATTTTGGCTTTCGTCTTTTGAACTTATTAGATGTGCAAAGGTATTAATTTCAAACTCTAGTGCTTATTATACCTTTATTCAAACATTTTTTATGTAACTAGAACAATATATTCTGGATCCTAACCTTACACTCTTAGTAACTACAACGTCATAAACAGTCATTTTAGACTACACCATGTTCAATCTATTAGCTACATAGAATAATTATATATGTGGTAGTGTTGTTTTATAAACATGCAATGCTTAAATAACAAGTATAAATGTGTTATAATGTCTCAATAAAAATATAGAAACTAATCTAAAGTAACAACTTATAATTTTACTTCCAAGAAGTATTAATATAATTTAAGGTGAATTGTCCATGTCATGGCAAGGGATTTTTTGTAATTAAGTTTTGTAGACTTTTTGGTTCTGCGCAATGTACAATTTTCGCCTGACTAGATTGTCGATCCCCATAATCTCCAATATCTAGCACTTAATTCCTCTTTGCAGTGCATGTAGGTTCTTGTCTTCAATGTTGTTCTATGTTTTTTTAGTTATTGGATTTGGGATTCTGAAAAGTAAATACAAATTTTATTATCAATTAAATTAAGGTTGTATTGTATCACCACGTATTGTTGTATGAATATTACATACATTTTAATACAATATATAGAAATTGATGTGTTGAAGTTTCCATTATTATTATTCCTCCTTTGTGTATGATTTTTTTCAATGACACATGCGTGGCACACATGCATGTCCTCTAGTTATCATAAATGTACTAATGTTTGCTTGGTCTACGTAGTGGAACGTGGCATTAATGTTTACTTTTAATATTATAGTGGTAGAAATGTAAAATATGAATA